GATCCGCTGGGGTGGCTTGCGCCTATCATAATCGTAGCCAAAATCCTTATGCAAAATATTTGGCTGGAAGGCACAGATTGGGATGAGACTGTGTCTTCGACCACTCTAGACCGATGGCAGAACTTTACCCAACATTATAACGAAATTGATAAGGTTCGTATACCGCGATGGGTATACTTTTCTCCAACGGATGAAATACAAATACACGGATTCTGTGACGCATCGGAGAAAGCATATGCCGCCTCTGTGTATATGCGTGTCAAAAGAGACAGCAAAGTTTTTATTAACCTGCTTTTGGCAAAAACCAGAGTTGCTCCTGTTAAAACCATATCGCTACCCCGACTGGAACTTTGCGGAGCGGTACTATTGGCGGAAATAGTTGATTCAATAATCAACAATCTCAACTTAGGGCATATCAACATACATCTGTGGACCGATTCCACAATTGTTCTCGCTTGGATTCGTAAGCCTCCGTGTTCATGGTCAACTTTCGTTGCCCATAGAATCACAAAAATTGTAGAGAAAGTCGGACACAAGAATTGGCTGCATGTGGATTCGGCATCAAATCCAGCAGACTTAGCGAGCAGAGGACTTCCAGCATATGAATTGGTCAACAATTCGTTGTGGTGGCAGGGACCTTCTTGGTTACAAGAAGATAACCCAAAATGGCCCACCCAGGAAACAGACTACAGCACAGTAGTTGAGGAAAAAAGAACGCACGTTTATACAACCAAAGTAAATTATACCGATATTCTTGACCGTTTTTCAGATTTTCCGAGAGCTTTGAGAGTATTATCATATGTTATGAGATTCTCTCAAAGAACGCATCGAAATACGAAAGCTTCATTTCAAGACAAGTCACGCTTAATTTCATCCCATGAAATTAAAGCAACGACACAACGCTTGATAAAAATATATCAACAGAACTATTACAGTGAAGAATACAGGAAACTTAAAGCAGGAAACTCCATCGACTCCAAGAGTGAACTCCTACCGCTTAATCCGTTCATAGATAAAGATGGCATTATTAGGGCTGGTGGGCGTCTTGGAGCGTCTCAAGACTTAGCGTATAACGAGCGGCATCCAATAATTATTCCTTATAACTGCAGGTTGTCCCGTCTAATAGTGTCCTTTATTCACCAAGTCTCTTTGCATGGGGAAAATCAACTCATGCTTCGCCTTATCCGAACTCAGTATTGGATCCCCAGAGTTAAAAATCTGATCAAATCCACAATCCATAACTGCAAAGTCTGTACGATATACAAAAAACGTACGCAAACCCAGCTTATGGGAATTCTCCCTCAGGAGAGAACCACATTTTCGCGCGCGTTTACGAATACAGGTGTAGATTTTTCAGGACCCTTTGACATCAAAAGTTATAGCGGCCGAGGTTGTCGAATGTCCAAAGGATACGTTTGCCTTTTTGTCTGTTTTACGACAAAAGCGATCCATTTGGAAGCAACTAGTGACCTCAGCACTCCATCATTTTTAGCTGCATTCGCCAGGTTTGTAGCCAGAAGAGGATGCCCGAAGAACATATATTCCGACAATGGTACAAACTTCGTCGGAGCTTCACGATCTTTACGATCTGAATTTAAGGCATTTTTAGCAGATTCGCGTGAAAAAGCAGTTTCGAAATACAATTATCAAATGCTCACATGGCATTTCATACCCGCCGCTGCTCCTCATATGGGCGGCTTATGGGAGGCGGGGGTAAAAAGCTTTAAAAGCCACTTTAAAAAGATTGCATCCGTTCATAAGTATACGTTCGAAGAGTTCAGTACTCTTTTATGTCGGATTGAGGCGTGCCTCAACTCACGACCATTGAGCCCCGCTTCGAATGAACCTACCGACCTGGAGCCTCTCACTCCAGGTCACTTTCTTACTGGTGGACACCTGCTAGCCCCACCTGAAATCGACGTTCACGAGAATCCTGCCTCGATAGTAAATCGGTGGCAGAAGCTAAAGGCCCTTCACCAAACTTTTTGTAAACGATGGAAAACCGAATATTTATCCGAACTGCAAAAGCGGATTAAGTGGAAATATCCACAGCAAAATATAAAATTAGGAGATCTCGTTGTCATCAAGGAAGACAACCTCCCGTCAAATGAGTGGAGATTAGGTCGAATTATCAGCCTACATCCTGGTCCCGACGCTCGAGTACGCGTAGTTGACATCATCACGGAAAAAGGGCAGATTACGAGACCGCTGGCCAAACTGGTCCTACTTCCATCCCAAAATCAAGAAACCGAGGAGCCAGCAAGCACTTCGTAAATAAACCCTCTCCGTTGATCCCCAATCCCGCGTGAATTCCACTTCCTCATCGCACAAAAATTCCACTTCTATGCATTCGGAAGGATTCAACGCCTATAATCAAGTTTAACCCAGAGCAATATTAAAGGTAGTCGTGTTTTTAGTTAGATTTTTGGTGATGGTTCTTAGCCCGGCCTCTCCGGGTAGATCTGGGTATAAAGAACCGACCATCGTTAGATCTTGTAAGCATAGAATCGGGTAAAAATAAGACAGACCAAGCTTGATGAACAATTGTTTCAGAAATACGAAATTGGTAACGAGGTGCGAATTATCAATTAAAATCCTCCAAAAAATATAATAATAAGCGAAATAAGTTGAAAGTCGTTACAATTGTTCATTATGCTTGCTCGTGTTTCAACACAACTAGGTCTGATGGGAAGCGAATACATTTTACTTGACAGGTTTCGATAACCGTCAGTCAACCCATTAGACCAAATGAGTTCGCCTCAATTGTCAAAACCTACCAGCAAAGACTATAGTTCAAAAAAAAAAAAAATATCTATACATACGATAGCTTATTTGCAATAAATGTGCTATTTGTGCCGTGTGGAATGCTCCCTGCGAAGCCCCGAAAACTGAAAGGACGTTTGGCAATTTTTAAATTATGCATATATATATATATATGTACTACGCATGTAGTTATGTGAATTACATTTCTTATAACCCGATTACTGGGGAAATGACTAGCTCAAATTGTATTTAAACGAAAAACGGGTTGCAAAAAAAATTACTTACTAACGTTTTACTAAAGTAAGATATATAAACATACTGAAATAACGGAACATACATTCCAAAAATTCTAAAGACAACTGTCTTACTAGATAAAGCGAAGGAAATTCTAGTTAAACAGATTATCTATAAATTCTGTGCTTCGATGATAAATAAAAATAATATTTGTAAGCGCTTACTGTTTACCTATATTAAAAGAGGGATCATTGAAATACAGGCATGTGAGATTCCTTATTGTATGTAACATGCTCATGGCAGTGCCCTAAAAACTTTAGATCAGTATTCCTATCTCCATTTTAATTTCTGCTCTGGAGCGTTTGAAGGAAATTGGGCGAAGAAAATCGAACATACTACGTAAATCGCACAAACTGACGGCAATGAGAACAAAACACTTTATTTTAATACTTTGCTGCATTATAATTACAACAATATTTTTCATAATTTTGGGACCGGCTGGTGAACCCAACGATTCTTTGAAAAGTATTGTTACGCATACACATCAGCAGCTAAACAAATTGCAGGAAAATCTGCGTGTTGCTGAGAAAAAAAGCTTCAAATAGACCCGAAATATTTGTCTTTGCTTGGTATCACCGAATTTTAATGTTACTGGAGTGGCATATATTTAAATGTTTATAGTAAAAAAAAAAAAAAAACAAAGATGACTAGGCGAGACTTTGAACACAAGTTGAAGTACGCACATAACGCCTTCCGTATTTGGGAAAGATCGACCAGTCGCAAATTCTTGGTGGAGGTTTGAATATGTCGTACGGTTTTCTCATATACATACATACGTACATAAATACTTGGCAAGTGTGTCAAGTTTAAGTATGTTTTAACTACTGATTATCCACATAATAATATTTTTTATTATAACGACTCATTTAGGTATCATTCACGATGATGGCATACTCTACGGTGTGGTTAAAGTTACTGGAACAATACAATTAATACATTAAATAAGTAATATGAGAAGCATACTTTTAAACAATGTTACGCAGATTCTTATTGCCCTGGGCCTGACAAAGATTTCTCCATGAACTTTTTCTTGGCAAAACAAATCCACCACTTATTTGGCTTGCCGTCGTCAGTGCTGAAAACTTTTTCACAAACCCGATTTCCTATTTCATGGCGCATTTGTAAAAAATACTGACGCATCAAATCAGCCTCTTGTGCATTCTGTGGTCGAGCATAAACTGCGTTTAATGGAAACCCAGAATCACCTGGTATATCAAACTTTGAAATGGCCAAGCTGTACATTTCTTGAGCACCTTGGTTTTTGTTGTTGCAACGTTGCAAGCGCTTCAAACATTCAGTTATATAGAGTGTAATATAAATAAGCACACGATCTACTTCCGACTTTATCTCATAAGTTCGAAAGAAAACATTTGCCTTAAAGTAATACAGTGACTCATCAATGATATCAGATTCTACATTGACACTAGGAGCAGGCCCACGAGCTTGAGTGCGTAGAGGCAAAAGTGCCATGTTTCCAACCACTTGAGGAAATTCCTTAATCTGAGAATGGTACGCCGGCATGATTTTTGATATTGCAGCAAATAACTTAATTTGTATTTAAAAATGAATAATAAAAAACTTTGCCTTGTCCAATTGACGTCGTCGAAGCCAAACCAAATTTCGATACCAAATTTAGTGTAGATATATGTAATAAGCAATTAGATTTGGAATCAATAGCTCGTTAGACATATTCTTTGTATCTGTGTAACTTAACCAATAGCTACACCTTCAACCCTCCTTCACCAACAAATAATTTTCCAGTTAATTTAAAATGACCCCTTCACTGCTGTTAATTATAAAAATATACATACCTAGTTGCCGGATAGTGGTAATGGCCAGAATAAAATTAAAACATAGTGCCACCCAGATGTAGATTACCTTTGAAGAATAAAAGTTGTCATTGTAGCTCATTTTTGTTATAAAATCTACTATAAACATACGGCCCAATGCATCCAGGCAATGTTGTTGGTGGACCACAAGGTCAACAGGGTGGTGCAATGCCCCAAAATGCTGGCCAGCAAAGTGGTATCAGCCAAATGATAGGTATTTCCCAGAATATGCAACAGAAGGTAAATATGCCAATAGGTCAGGGTGGCCAGATGTTTCAGGTTAATCGTGGTGTTCCGGGTCAGTAGCAGCAGTTCTTACGGCAAAGTCCTTCACCAAGTACTGTGCCATCTGCCACTGGTATGTAGGCTGCACAAAATCAACAGCAACAACAGCAGACTCAAATGTCTGATGCGCAGATGATTCCAAGCCCTTCGGTACTGATATTTGCGCTCCTGCACCAGCATTTGTACCCATAGGACCAGCAGCGTTCAAACGTGCGTTCATCATTTGATGTAATTGCTGATGGTTCATGCTGATTTGCGCCATTTGCTGTTGACCCATTTGTTGAATCTGCTGTAAATTCATAGCATTCACGTTCATTGGCCCTCCCGGGATCTGCCCTGGACCTAACTGCATTTGTTGGGAAGACCCACCAGGGCCACCAGAACGGCTAATTTGATTCATGTGATCTGAAAATCGAAAAAGATTAATAAGTACAAAAGCCTGCAATTTCGCATGCATACTCACCCAACCGTTCCAGCAAACTTACGTAATGGCCGCGTGGTAGTAAAATTTTAGACAATGACATTTATGCATTGTATGTATGTATGTATGTGATTACGTTCCACATCAGGAATAAACCTAGCGCCGTTCTCCATTCATATTGGAGAATAGCTATGTTTCTTTACGGACAATTAACACTAACCCTAACTAGCTGCTGCTAGTTTTGCATGGTGACCGTTCGTAGACAATAAATTTAATTGCTGTTGTCATACAATTGGGGATTTTAAATGTAAAACCAATGCAAAGTCACTGGGTACCACAAAATGT